CCCCGCCTGCTGCGCCGCCGACACCGGCGGGAATCGCGCCGCCGCCGCGCCCATGCCGCCGCCGCCAGCGCCATAAGGCAAGCCCGCGCCACCATACCCGCCCGGGGGGCCGCCCGTACCGCGTGGCCCCGGCGGCGAGGCGCCGCGGTGGCCGTACCCGCCACCGGGCGCGCCGCCCAAGCTGCTGGGTATCGAAGGCGCCCGCATGCCATAGGGGTCGCCCCGCGGCCCGCCGTACGGCCCAGGCCCGCCCGGCGCCCCTGCGCCCAGCCGCTGGTGCAGCCCGCGCCCCCAGCTCGGCGCGCCGTAGCCGCCCGGCCCCGCTGGCCCTGGCCCCCCGCCGCCGCCGCCGCGCCCTCCGAACGGCCCCGGCCCCCCGCGGCCCCCGCCGCCTGGGAAGGGCATCGGCCCCCCGGCGCCGGGCGGCGCGAGCCCCGGGCCCGGCGGCCGCCGCACCGGCGGCATCTGGTCGCGCGGAACCGCCGGCTTGATCTCGATCTGCTTATCGTGTATATTCTGCATGGCGCCCTGCGCAAACACCTTATCCACGGCGTCCTCCTCGGTGAATGTGATGAATCCAAACCCCCGGGGCCGCTTGTTGTCGTGGTCATACATGACCACCGCGTCCTCCACGCCGCCAAACCGCTCAAAGTACTGCCGCAGCGCCGCGTCGTCGACGGTGGGCGCGAGGCCGCCGACAAAAATCTTGCGGGTCTTCTGCGCGGCCGCGTCGCCGGGGGGCGCGGCGGGGGCGGGGGTCTCCTCCTTGGGGACCGCCTTTTTGGCCTCCACCTGGGATGAAGGTCGGTCGGGAGGGCGCGCGGCGGGGTGCATGGATGCGTGCGCCGCGTCAGGAGGGGGGGGACAGGCGGGGGCCGCATGCGAGGCGAGAGGAAAGGCGACGGGGCCGGCCTTGCGGCGGACGCGACGGGGCTGGAATCGCGGCGGGCGCGGCGGTCGAGGCGCGCACCTCTCTCCGGTCTATGTGATGCTTGCCCTGCGCCACCACCTTGTCCACCACCGCCGGGTCGGCAAAGCAGACAAAGCCAAAGCCGCGCGGCCGGCCAGTGTTGCGGTCGAAGCTGCGGAGGGAGGGAGGGCGCGAGGCGCTGGGGACACTGCTCTGGCCGGCTGGCTGACGGCGGCCCGGGCACGACGGGTGTGCCGGGTGCCGGCGCATGCTTGCGCGGTGCTGCACCGCGCAGCCCTGGCGCGACCCGCCCCAAGGCATGCTGCGGGAGCTGCAGACGGGGCGCTTTCACGCTGCGCGGTCCCACCGCCCACCTCACAAACGCCTCCGTGACCTCCCCGTAGTTGCTGAAGTACTGGGCGAGCTTTTCATCACTGCGCCGAGGCAAGGCGCCGAGCGAGAGGTGAGGCACTAGGCTCGTCCTACGCAGCGCACCCATCCCTCAGCCCCAGACTCACGTCGTCTCCCATGATAGGCCTCCTACGAAGACCTTGTTAGGCTGCTGTGGCCGGGAGGGCCCTCCAGGGCCTCCCCCGCTAGGCTGCATGCTGCGAGTACTACGCCCCACTAGGCCTACCCCCCTCGCCCGCACTCCAATTGGCTGTGACCGGCAGGCTGCTGTGCTGCGGGCCGCGCGCGTCCGGGGTGCCCTTGTCACTCGGGGCGCCACAACAACGGCGAACGCGGCTAAGACAAACTGTTCCGGCGTGGTTGGTGTCAAACTTGTCGGGAGACGAGTCGGTTGGCAAACACTAATCGTAAACGTCGACGGCGCCTGCTAGAGTCCGCGAAATTCGCGTTGGCCTCTGGAGGGCTCAAACAGCTGTGAAAACGCTCGTATCAGAATCGATAGAGCCTTGATTAGCAAAGAAACTCCATTGAAGGCCGAGAGACCGCGTCAAACAACCCACGACAACACTGCGAGCATGGGACCGAGAGTGGCGGGATCGGCCAAACCTCACGATATCCGCCTTCAATCGCCTCAGCACTGATTTTAGATGGTGTAATTGTGATTCAAACACGTGTTGGTCGTACGCTGCGCCACATGGGACCCCTAGTGCCCTGTCGGGCGGCGGCCAGCTGGCAACGGCACCCAGGGCGTAGGAATCCATGCAGGGTGCGTAATTCAGCCGCACACGCGTAAGAAGCATGTGATGATACCAGGAACATGGATCCATGGCTATGACCTCACAACACCGCAAGCTTCAGGGATGCCGCACCCTGCGCTCAATCACATCATGGAACGCTGGCCAGGGCTCCCAATCAGCCGCGTATGAAGACTGCGAACGCACCGCACCTCCCTACATACACCCATCATCTAACATGCAGCGGAATCTCTCCGAGGTCGAGGATGGGCAAGGGCGTGCGCAGGCCAATTTCAGTGTTGGACATTGGAGTGGCTTTGAAGGCCTTTGCCGGCAAGGCCTGCACGCGTGCTGCGGGCTGGGGGCCAGTGAAAGGGCATCTGGGGGGCGCTCGTGCAGAGTCCGGGTCTCCACAGGCAATTGCAGATGCATGCAATTTGTAGTTGCGAGCATGCGCGGCTGTTTCAGACCAGCGTTGTGCATGCGCACCCCTTATGCTGATGCATTTGTTGTGCTGAGCTCAACCACAATAATGAGATGATAATGAGCATCAACCAATGTAAGCAAATGGACTGCATGCCGACAACTCAACCTGCCTGGCGTGTGAGGACACCGACTCGTTCAAACATGGATGTTTGACCAGGCCGCTAGAGGTTGTGTGGACAGGAAGCACAAGCCGATGCAGGTCGATTTTTGATGCGGCGTGCGATGATACAAATTTATGCAGGGACAATGAACATTTTGGAAGAAGGTGATCAAAACCTGAGCCCGCGATGACACGATCGATGCGATACCGTACTCGAGACATCATACGTGTGGTGCCGAGTCCTGCATGAAACATGCAAGCGGCACTTTCTATGCTTGGAGCGAGTAAAGTTCTTGAATTCGTCCTCTTCAGACATGCCACTCGCTCTGAATGTGCGCAAGTCACCGGTAGTGCAGGCCTGTCACTTGCCGCTGCCAGCCGTTCCGCCGTGACCCCGGCAGTGTTCAAGGCCATTGAACGATGCTGCACTGAATAGACGCTGCCGGCAGTGTGAGTTTGGCATTCAGTGCAATCCCCGCCACATCCTCTCCCAATCGTTTGCGGCAGCACGCTCTGGCGTGTGTCTGTGCAAGGCCTGGTAGCTTTGTTGCATGAAAGTTGCTTGCACACAAGGCTCACTTACCTGAGCACTGGAGACCGCTGATCACGGATGACTTCAAGCTCCTGAGCAACATGCAGCATCGCCCCGTGCTGGGCGTCGACTCTGCACCCCGGGAGACGGACGGATTGGCACATGTACTGGCATGGTGGCGCAGCCCGGAACATGAGGGGCTGCGCGGGCAAGCCAGGTAGTTGCAACTACCCACAGCGCTGGGCCATGTGCAGCAGCAGAGCGGGCAGCAGAGGTGTGACAGACAGAAGCAAGGCCCCAGCCGGCAGGTTGGTGCGCAGTCAATGGCTCAGATGTTATGGGCGCACTGCGCTTGGTTTGGCATGCTGCCAAGGCCATCGGGTGTGCCAGTGTCACCAGTGTGCATGCAGTCAGCGAGCAGCACAAAGCATCTACACCGGCCTTCGAACACGACCGGTATGTCAATTGCTTCAAAACTTATCACATAGCACCTTCTAACACCATCGACACAAACAGCTGATCTCGCTGCTGGACCCCGTGGCATCCATATCGCCACGTGAACTACGCGCGTCTAAGAGGCGCTTTGCGCGCCATCAACCATGGCGGACGTTGAAAGGGGCGCACCGCACACGGGGCCCGCGTCCACGCCGAGCCTCGCTGCGACGCCGCCCCCTCGCGGTCCCGCTGGGAGCGCGCCGAGCAAGAGGCCGGCCGTGGCCTTCCAGATTGGGCAGCAGAGGAAGCTGCATGAGATGGAGGCCCAAGCCGAGGTCCTAGGGTCGGAGGGGCTCTCGCCGGTGAGCAGGGCGGAAGGTCGCTGCTCCGGCTTTGTGGTCCCGCATTTGGATCGATGTGCGGGCGCCCGCTCGTCCGCAGTATCTGCCCTGGGGCCGGCGCCTGCAACGCTGGCAGAAAAGGATTGCGCTTGCGCGCGGGGGCCTTCAAGCAGTCACGCCAGCGGGCACGCGGCTTGCGAGGGGCGGCAGGCGCGCGACGCTGCTGCACAGGCCGGGTCCACGGGTCGCAGGCGCAAGCCCCTGCACCCGTTTTGTTTGTTGTGGCGGCGGCAGCAGCGGCGGCGGCTCCGCTCGGGATGGCCCATCCGCTGCGGCCGGCACGTTGTTGTGACAATGCGTCACCAGCCGTCGCGTTTCTACCCTCAGCCCTCCTCCCCACCCTCTCGCGCGCGGCCGAACCTGTCGTGTCATCCTGTGAACCCCATTTTCCCCCAACAACGCCCTTCACGACCCACAGGACGACCTCTCAGCCCACACAGTGGCCGTCAAAGAGCAGATCAAAACCGAGGAGCTCTTAGTCATGCCTCCGGGGCTCATACACCCCTACAACAGGATGTGAGGGGCCCGCTCGACTTACAACCGCCCCAAGATGCCCGCGCAGGCCCGCGATCGCGTCTGGCGACCCTCGTGCAGCCGCAAGCGCGTACCCCTCCGATTGCCTTCGCGCACACACCCCCACGCATGTCGCCCACCTGCTCCCGCCGCGCACCTGCGATGCGCCTCCCTTCGCCGCTGCGTCGCCAATCAACTGTCCACTCCCACACACGCGCGCTCGCGCGCGCCGCGCGCCGCCGCCGCAGCTACCGCGCCTGGTGGTGGGTCGTCATCGGCGCCGCCGTGGTGACCGGCTGGCTGGAGCCCTACCAGATCGCGTTCCTGTCACCCACGCCCGTCCCCGTGGGCGGCGTCACCGTGCTGCAGTACGTACTGCTGGCGGTGTTTGCGGCCGACATGGTGACGTCATGCTTCGTAGGGTACTACGACAACGTGCGCGGGGGGGGGGGGTGTTAGGGCCATGCACTCCCTTCGTGTTTGGATACCCTTGTAGCAATTGACAGCCATAAATCTGTACAGTTTGTCAATGTATGCGGCATTGAGAATGCATGGTTTGGGCCCTCGGGGGGTTGCCGGCGTTGCGGGGGTTGTTGGGGAGAGCGAGCGAGCCCCAGGCAGCTGGGCCCTGTGGGGCCGCGAGAAAGGCGGATGAGGGGCGCACGCTGCACCGCCACTGCCGTTTGGCGGAAACAAAAGTACCCTCTCAACCCGAACACCAATCGAACCGGGAGCCTGCGTGCGTGCGGCACGCACGCGCACACGCACGCGCGCACACACACACACACACACACACACACACACACACACACACACACACACACACACACACACACACACACACGCCCAGGGCCGCCTCGTGGCCGACCGCGGCTCCATCCTGCGCAACTACCTGTCGTTCCGCCTCTGGTGGGACCTGCTGACCACGCTGCCCTGGGACGCGATTGTGCAATCCGCCATGGGGCTCATCGGCAGCCAGGGGGTCACGG